ATTATAAAACCCAATGATTTTGATATATTAAACCCTAAAAGATTTTCTTTTTATAAACTTTGTCTATTATCATTAGATCCTCACTACTCCTTTCTTTTTAAATGGAAAACTGAAGACTGTTCAATGAAAAGCAAGAAAAAGGTCAGTTCCTATATGTAACAGTTTTCTGTCAATAGTACCGTAGTCTTATATTTAAAAAATTCTTACGAGCAGCTTATTCATTACCCAGATAAATTAAGTTTGTCAAATATGGTAAGTGGACAAGAAGGAATTTACGGTATGAGTCTTTTTGCATTATCTGGCAAACATTTCCAAAATTATCTCAGCAAATATTGCTATAGTTCACTATGTATTTTGTTATTAGAAAACTTTCAGAAATTTGAGAAAAGATAAAGCTTAGCACTTTTTTATTTGTGCAAATACCTGGCATGTACAAACATTTTGTGTCTAATATTTGAAAAAGAAATGAAACTAATTATCAATATTTTTCACACAATGTGGACTTCAGGAAAATCTGACACTGTACATTAAAATTTAAGAATGTGAATGATGTTCCCTTTGTCTCTTTAAGAACATGTGTTTCTTCATTATAAGTAACCGACAAATATTTAAAAGTATAGTAGCTTCTACAAAACAACTATATCTGTTTATATATCCAAGTACAAAATGATCATTTTTATTTTCACCTCTTATTTCACTGAGCTTTGCAGCTATATAGTTCACATACTCCCTTTGGAGGGAACATCAAATCTCTTAGAACATTATTGTTTAGAAGTGTCTAGGCTTGATTAGCAAGATGCCACAACTCAGAATAGATAGTGGTTCCTTCCAATAGATGAGCTGGTCTGGAGGTTTGAAGATATTTAAATACAATTATAAGCCAGTTAATTGCAAGTTCTGTGCCACATTGTGTACTAGGAAGCAAAGGTCTAAAGGTGTAGGGGAAGTGGGAAGGGTAGGAAAAAAGTAATAAGGGAAAAGAAAGAATATGAGAAAAGAAAAAAAATGGGAACAAAGTCTTTGTAAATAGGGGAGGGTGGAGCGGGTGAAGGGAAGGCAGGGAAATGGGGAAAAATAAGAACCAAGATACATCAAGTAAAGGTACAAGATCCCAATGACGAATGTAACTTCATTGTCTACCTAAAATGTACCAAAAAACTTAAAGAAAAGATTAACAGCTAAGGGTACTTAAAGCTTCAAAGACAACTATAAAGAAACTATTTGTGGAAGGGAAACGGAGTGGCAAGGCAGTCTGCACTTAACAAGCATGATAGCGCAGGAGGAATGTGGGCTAGGAACACAAAATTCCCAAAAGAATGGAATTCGACTTGGCTACTTCCCGGTTGTGTGAACTTGAGCAAATTGTTGACATTCTTTTGTCTCAGGTCCTGTCTCTAAATGGATATAATAATGTACCTATTTCATAAGGTTGTAGGGAGAACTAAATGATTTAATATGAAAAATGCTTACTGACTAGCCATTTTTACGTTTGTACAACATAATTATTTATTCATATACTATACATTTTATTACATATAAACTTCTTATATGTAAATATATCATACATAATACATAGCCATTCATTATTGTCTTGTATAAGTATAGTAATGTTAGCAGTTATTATCATTTTTACTATTTTGCCCATTTTAGTATTATTCTATATTTCTTCTCTATTTCTCATCCTATAGTATTTCTAGTTTCAACCTTTTTTAATTTCCACTGCCTGCATTATTCTTATCTCAAAATCTTAATCCCAAAGTTAGAAATTAATCAAAAAGAAATCTTACAATATTAATTACCATTACAATCAAAGTCATTCATTCACTGATTTTTTGAAACACATGAATACATATGTTTCATTTTATCTTTTTAACTAACAGATTTAAATCTCAATTACTAAATTTACTGCAGTTAACTGACAGACTAAAAAAAAAGATAACGGAAGGGAATCACATATTTGACTAATGTTTTTACATTAAAAGAAAACCACACAGAAAGTAATTGTTATTCCAATTTATACTTTTATAATTATTTCAAAATCTTCCATCTTCCATAATAAATAACTTTCCTGTCCTAATTTTCGGACCTTATATACTACTGGAATGAAAAATTTCATTCAGTGGCAAAAAGTGTTGTATTTGATCATTGTTCCTGCTGGCTGTAGGAGATAAAGGGTCGCGCAGATGCTTGTAAATATATGTTTACTAATCTTGTTTCACCATCAGTGAAGACAGAAGATGGAGCAGTCATGAGTACATTTTATGTGATGCTACCAATTGATGTGATCTGCAGAAGCTTTGAGAGGTATTTATAAGAATCAAACAGAAAAATCCCTCCTAATCTAAGAAGTGGAATGCCCTTCTTTCTTTTCTTTTTTTGGTACCGGGGACTGAACTCAGGTCCTTGTGCTTGCGAGGCAGGCCACCGAACTGCTGAGCTACATCCCCGGCCCGGAATGCCCTTCTTTCTTCAGCACATCCTTGTGGCAGAATTCCGTATTGGCCTCCAATCTTCCTCCCTCGTCATGCTCTTTGCTGTATAACTGCAAGTTCTTCCTGTCCTTATGGACTGTCTCCTGGGCCTTTTTGTGGATGCTGATTATTTCATGGACTATGCCTAACGCGTGGGTGGAAGCAACAGTGGGACACTGCTAAGCTCTGCCCTTCTGCCTTGTTCAGCTGTAGGTACCATGAGAAAAGCTTCCCTGAACAGCCATTTCCCCATCGGTCTGGATTCTAGAATAAGCACATTTGGGAGACAAAAGCTTGACTTGCAGCAAGAAGGCAACCTGGTGTGACTTGCAGTTTGAACAAAGTTTTCCAGCAGAGTCCAGGGCAACTAGCTAATCCTCAAGTGACCTGTATGTATTCAGAAATAGATTTTTTATTACTGTACACTACTGATATTTGGTAGTTATTGGCTATGTAGCAATAGCTGACTGATATACACTGACTTTCAGATTATGCAAAAGGTTTTATATTTTTCTTTTGGTGGTTCATGCTAAGTATGTGCTCTATTTCTGAGCTATGTACCTGACTCAAGGCTGTATCTTTTAAAGCAAGCCAGAAAAAAATCCAAAGATAAGTGTGACAGATGATTTAATTTTATATATATTGTAGAAGAATCAGCAGGGCTGTTTTTTCACTATTATGGCTTTTAAGGACGACAGTTAATTCATAAAACAATAACACACTTGGTTATAAGGCAAATCTACATTTGTTATATCTTTTCTTGGGGGGAGGATACCAGGGATCAAACTCAGGGCCTTGTGCTTGCGAGGAAGGCAGCAGCACCGCTGACCTGACCTAAATCCCCAGCCCTTATATTTGTTATATTTTAAATTGACCATTGAAAGGTATGAACAGACATTTCTCAGACAAAGAAGTAAAAGCAGCAAGTACATATATGAAAAAATGTTCCACATCACTGGTCATTCGAGAGATACAGATGAAAACAACACTGAGATTTCACCTCACCCCACAAAGAATGGCTGGTATCAAGAAATCAACCAATAACAAACGTTGGCTTGGTTGTGGGGAGAAAAGAACCCTTCTCTATTGTTGGTGGGAGTGCAGACTGGTGTAACCACTATGGAAATCAATATGGAGATACGTCAAAGAGCAGGGACTAGAGGTTCCATTTGACCCAGCCATAGCTCTGCTGGGTATCTTTCCAAAAGAATTCAAAGAATCATATCACAGTGACACATGCACACCCATGTTTATAGCGGCACAGTTTGTAATAGCTAAAACTTGGAAACAGCCCATTTGCCTATCAGTTGGAAGCTGGATAAAGAAGATGTGGTTTTTCTATAAAATGGAATACTACTCAGCCACAAAATGTGAGAAATTAGAGTCATTCATAGGAAAATGGATGCATATTGAGGATATACTCCTAAGTGAAATAAATAAGTCACACATGTATAAATACCGAATAGTTTCTCTGGTTTTTCTATGAAAAGCTATAATGGTACATAAGATCCTAATAATATAATTGACAATGTGAAATAGGGAGAAAAGGGCTAAAGGTGTAGGGGAAGTGGGAAGGGTAGGGGAAAGGAAATAAGGGACAAGAAAAAATACGAGAAAATGAAAAAATGGAAATAAAGTATTTGTAAATAGGGAAGAGAGGAGGGGGTGAAGGGAGGGCAGGGACAAGGGGAAAAAATGAGAACCAAGATCTGTCATGTAAAGGTACAAGATCCCAATAATGAATGTAACCGTACTGTATACCTAAAATGTAGCAATAAACTCAATAAGAAAAAAAAGTATGAAATTGTGCTCAATAAGTCTTCTATAGTTTTAACAATTAAAATTAAGTCAATGAAATTGTGTAATTGGAAGCATTCAATACTTTTAATAAGTATGAAGTGAATTCCTGTACAGTGTTAGAACTTTATAAAGTATTCCAAGTGATTTAATTATACTACATCTTAACAACGTTAGGGACATTATAACATATTTAATCAATGGAATGAGAACAAATCTTTGTTGAAAAACACAGGCTGAATACTTTAAACAAAGACCTGACAAGTATATTGGTTACATAAAACAAAATCCATTAGGTTTCCAAATATTAAAAACTTTTCTCCTATCTAATATCCCCTAAGATGACAATGATCCAAGGGTAGCTGTGTAAGAAAATGTTTTAAAATTTGGATTTGTAACCATTTATTTTAAACACTTTGTGTTGATAAACTTTAAAATCTTTGTTACTATTTATGATCTATTACATGGGAATTTCTCACAACTGAAATATGTATACTAATGTTTCAATGAATAGAGCTCTACTATGTTGAATCACATTTTGCAAGGTATGATTACATGGGAATAAGGAGGGAATTCTCAACAGAAACTGACTGACTTTATATAGAAAAATGACCTGTAATATTTTTTACACAATTAAAGACTAACTGATAAATTGATTTAATGATTATATTTAGAGATCAATTTCACAATGCTAACTTAAAAATATTTTTGAAAAAATTTTCAGTATAAAACCTAATATTTGGTAAAATTCTGAGAAACTGAGTTATTTTCAGCAGTTGCTGTCTCTGCTGAATTTAAGAGAATGCCCAGTCTCCATAAATAAAAAGTAAATAATGGAAATGTATCAGAAAGCTGAAAGATAGCTTCATCATGCTTCTGAAGATATTTCTTAATTTCTTGGTCGTGCCCTGTACCTGAAGTGTGGTCTTCTTTGTTTTCCATTAGAAGAAGCTGTTCCAAAACCCACAATAGGGAGAAAACATTTTCATAGCGTGCCACATCATAACTGACTTGCACCTATAAATAAAGAAAAAAAACCGGGAAAAATAGGGGTGCAGATTACTAGCTCAGTAAGATGTCAAAGAGTAAGATTAAACTTTTAGACAAAATAAGAATATCTGGTTTGCTGAACATCTCTCTTCCTGTCCCTTTGTTTCACAGAGAGAAGAAGAAAATTTTCTTTAAGGACTTTACAATCATGATGAATGTATTTTTTTCTTGATGGTATATAAAACTCAAAATCTTTTGCTTGAAGTCTAGTTATATATATATTAAGCATCCTTAAACTGAAAATCAAAAATCCAAAATGTTTTAAGACCCAAAATTGTTGAATGTCAACATGGTACACAGAAGAAAATTCCACATCTGACCTCACGAGATAGGTTGCAGTAAAAGTGCAGGTGCACTAAAAATATTGTATAAATTTACTTTCAGACTGTGTGTATAAAAGCATATGAAAAAAGTGTAAATCTCATGTAACTTGGGATGTATTCATAAGATATCTATTTCTAAGTATCCAGATATCTGAAAATCCATAAAAGTCCAAAAATCTGAAATACTTCCCAAACATATTGAATAAGGAATATACAATCTGTAACTCATCATTCAAGTGAATCTGAGAACACGTGAAAAATGTTGACTGTTGAATTTATTATTTTGCCAAAAACATTCGGTTGATATTCCTACCAATGATAATATATGGCTCTTTGGGAATAGGATTTTAGGTACATGTTTGGATATAAAATTCAGCCCTAGAGCAGATAGAATTAAGATCTGTATATGATGAAATGAGGTGTTGTCCTGAGTCTACTCAAATCAAAATGGAGCAAGATTAGACTGTGTGGGATCAAATGCAGGGATAGGAAGAGAAGCATAGGTGTGCCTCTACATAACCTTAATTGGTCTAGGGGCTAGATGTAAGGCAAGTACGGGAAAGGCCTAAACATGGACAACGGCAAGTATAATATGAGAGAATATCACTATCAGTATAAAAACAGAAGCTGGCTTTATTGTTTACTTATTAATTAAGAAATATATCAGAATGCTTATCACCATTTTACAGGCAGGAAACTGGGCTTCTGCAAGGTACACTAATTAGAACAATTCTACATGTCATAACTAGGGAGTTTTTTTCTTATATATTTTGTTCAAGTTCATTAAAAAAGTATTATCGCTGGAAAAAACAAAGAAAAGTATTGAAAACATTTACCAAATCTATCCATTTTAATAATACATAAGTGAAAGAACATTATTTTAGAGTCAGAGGAATTTACTCTATTGGTGGCCCAACAAAAGCAGTCAAATGTGTATGGATAATTAAAAGTTAGCAAATTTTTTCTTTAAAGAAGAAATGAGAGGTGGCTGTATGCCCCTCAAGAAGCACTGGTCATCGTCACCCTTTCAGCGGTGAGGCACAAGTCTTTCAAGCCCATGTATATCAGCCCCTAAGCTGCAGCCCCTTCTGTGTGTTCCCCAACCCAGACACAGGCTAAATGGCTTCAGTGCTCACTCCACACCTCACACACAGCCACTGCCACATAAGAGAGCTTTCCCCACTTGGCCCCAGGACCACAGTGCATTTGTGACCTGGGCACCAGCTCAGATACGCCAGAAGGCTGGGCCCAGCCCTGCCACTGGAACGCTGTACCTCTGAGAACAGCTGTGCTCCATTCCTGGCTTCCTATTTCACCGGCATCTGTGTATTGTGTACTGTCACCAATGCAGCAGCAAGTGTACCCGAGCCCCCAAAGCTAGTCCCATTGCTGTCAAAGTCCCCAGTCCTTCCTCATGTCCCCTTTGCTAAGGGGGAGGGGTGGTGGTGCTCCACTCATCAGAGTCTAATCCCATGACCACTGCAAGACACACTGCAAGCTGAAATAATATATCTTGAGACAGATACATGGAAAGATAGTATGCTAAAATTTATGGGATGTAGTATAGGAATAAATTATTACATCGAAAAGGAGAAAGCTTGAATAAACAACCTAACTTCATACATCTGAGATCTAAGTAAAGGAATAAACAATTGAAAATTAATTAAACTGAGATAGATATATGTATATCAAAGCCTAAGGTAGGCCAAGAAAAAAACAGAGAAAATTCAGATAAATTTACAAATGAATGTCAAAACATTATGCTTAATTTTATATAAAATAAAGGATCACAAGAGGCTACCATAACTATATACAATAAAAATTACATAGCCTTATAGGAACAGAAAAACTCTGGATACCTAAAACCTAAAATACTTAAAAATGAAAAACTCTGAATAGGCCAATAACAAGTAAGAAGAATCCTTAATAAAAGTATCCCATCAAAAAACATGCCAGAAACTTATTTGTTCACTACTGAATGTTACTAAACATTTAAAGAACAAATGCCCATCTTCTTGAATTTTAGCAAAAATTAAAGAAAACAGAATGCTTTTAAATATTTTAAATTAATTTTAAATTTTATAAGGCCAATATTATCCGAGAACAACATCATACCAAAACTCCCTAAGAAAAGAGCTTTACAGGCCAGTAATTTCATGCACACGGATGCAAAGTACACAACAAAATATTAGCAAACCGAATTTAACACATATTAGAAGGATCATACAACATCATTTACCAGAGGTATTTATTTCTACAAAGGCTGTACTTTCAAGGGATAATTTCTATAGTTGGTATTTATTTCTACAATGCCATGATGACCCAAAATCTAAAAATTAATAAATATGATACACTACATTAAAAAAATGAAAAATATGATCATTTGAATTGGTGCAGAAAAGGAATTCAAAAAAATCTAATATCCTTTCATGAAAATATCTTTCAATGAATTAGATGTAGAACAAATGTAAGTCCACATAATAAAGGCCATATATGAAAAGACAAAAGAAACACCACAATCAATTGTGAAAAGTTGGAAGTTTCTCTAAGATCATCAACTAGAAAAGGATGTCCAATCTTGCCACTTGTATTCAACATAGTACTAAAAGGGAGAGGTAGAGCAATTAATCAAGGAAAAGATGCAAAAGGTATACACACTGGAAAATAAGTTAAATTGTTTCTGAAAAAAAATTTTATAAAGAATATCCAAAAACTTCCATTAAAACCTGTTAGAATAAATAATTCAGTAAATTTTTGTTAGAATAAATTAATTCAGTAAATTTATGGAGCACAAAATCAACAGGCAGACATCAGTACTATTCCTATACAATAGCTGGAAAAATAATGAAGAGAAAAAATAACATTCCTCAGAGCTACCAAAAGAATTCAAGGTAAGGCAATGAATGTATGTGTCCAACCACAGGTGAATGGAGGAAGAAAATGTAGTGTATAAAGAAGGACTACAATGCAGCCATAAAAAGGACATCTTTTCATTTGAGCTAAAATGAACGGGTCTGATAGATGTTAAGTGAGATAAGTCAGGCACACAGACAAATACCGTTATGTCTCACTTATAAGTGGAATCTAATAGAACTGACAACACAGACAGGGAGTAAATGACCAGTTAAGAGCAGCTGGGAAGTGGGAAGACCAGGGGATATTTTGGACAAAGGAAACAGCATTTCAGTTAGACAACCGTAAATATAAGACATCTATTTTGCACCATAGTAGCCACAGTTAGTAGCAATACATATCTGAAATTCATTGAGAGTAGTTTATAAACATTCTCACAAGAAATGATGAGATGTAACACACATAACTGGATTGTTTTAGCCCTTCTCAAAAAATATACATTAATAATATAAATAGAATTATATAATATAAAATGTATATGAATCTATATCAAAACATTATTTTGGATGCCACAAATCGATGCAGTATTTACTTTTCAATTAAAAGAGATAATGGAGAGGTGGAAGTTGCCTGAGAAACTGTAGGCTAGGCTCTTCTTTTGAATCTGTATTGTCTCCTCCTTTTTATCTCAATAAAAAGAAAAGGGTAGTGGCAAAAAAACAAAACAAAACAAAACAAAAAACAACAGAAAAGGAACAAGCTCTCGAACTGCACTATATCCACCGTCCTCCCAAGCGTGAGGACACTGTCGTAGGCTGTGCACGGTATGTGCCCTAGCAACACCCAGACCCACCTCCGCTGTGCATCGGGACGGCACGGGTCCACCGGGGTTTCCTCAGTCTCCATCAATGCACAGCTTTTCAGTGTTCCACCTCATGTTCTGGGTGGTTGTATGCATTTTTATTGCCTGTTATGCCTGTCGGATGCTATAGGAAGCCCGTGTGCTCCTGTCACTAGAATTTCTAGAGGGACTAAAACAATATCTGTGCCCTTTAGGATTCTCAATCTGTATTTGGTGTTCTGATCAGGAATCATAGTTAAGAGACACTACTGTTGTGACATCGTGACATTTTTCGAAATTAAAATTACTTTTCAAATATTTTCTTCACAAACAAGAAGTTTGCACAATGTTTTTAGCCTGACCATGTTAGAAATACTTAGAAATTTTTAACTTGCTCATTGAAGACCACAACAGACCAAATTCTTCCATCAGTCAATAGATAATTCCTCTTTAACCATTCTAGTACTGCTATAAACACAGCACCATTACTTATAATTTAACAGAAATTGGGTAAGTGATTAAATATAATTATACATTAAAAGGCAAAACCATTTCCTTCACTTTAAAGCTTTAACTACATTTGGGCTACTGTACTAGGCAGGAGTGGTACAAATAACCCTAGGGCTCTCCTTTATTCATAATATTTATTATATTCTGTAATTTACCTTATTGGACCCTTACATTGCATTAGAATTTTATGAGGCTGATGATTCCTCTTTTCAAAGCTATTTAGCTATTTAATTTCTAACTCCACCATGATTCTTATGTATAATATAGTTTCATAAGCAGTAAAGAACTCCCAAATTGTACCAAATATGGAATAAAGGCATGTTTTGATGAAGGGCAGACGATCCAAGTTAATTTCAGGAGAAGGGAGCACATCCTGGCACCTTGTGGTCTGCTTGGAGAATCCCACTTTGAGCATGTGTAGCTCTGCTTCCAGGTAGGCT